AGTTCTAAAGCTGTAATATCTCAGGAATTGAGCACAAAGCTGGTGTTGATTGAATCCGCTTGTAATCAAGGCGATATTCTTTGTTCCTGCCTTTCTATTGTTACAGGAATGGTCTAAGCCCTCAACCCCAATTCTAAGGAGACTTAACTGCAAACACACGACAGCAATAGCAACATTTCCTATAACCACAAAGTAAAACCATATGTCTATGCTTAGATACTCTGAGATAGTCTAAAAGATGGTGATAAACCACTAGAGAACCTTCCATTACCCCGCGACCACACGTTTTACTAGGTCTGCCTCTTTCCTCTTGAAGACACAGTCTTATTTATGTAAATCTGCTTAAAAGGTTCTCACTCCTAAACCACCCTCACGTTGTAATTCACAAACCTTTTTCTCATCGGTTATCCACCCCACACAGTTCACTCAACTTTAGGCAATCTTTAGGGTGTTAGAGAGAAAAGTCCTCTTAACAAGCTGTCTTACCTTGTTCTTTTAAAGCCCGCATAATTTAGCCAAAGCAGTATTCACTCACTATTTTCATCAAATAAGTTTATAAGTCAAAATATTTGTATCAGTAGTGTAACTTCAACACCCTCAGCGAAACTGGGACACATGCCGTGGGTTTAGATAACTGTTCCACTGGAGGCAATGACATATCAAGCAGAATTTATAGCAGTGGGTTGAAAGTGATCACAGTGAATGTCTGCTTATCATGGTAGAAGATGTGTTTCAGAGGTGACAACTGGCTTTTTATGAGACGGAAATACTACTATTGGTGTATTAATATTATTAATTATCCATATTCAATTGTAATATTCTGGCCAAGAAAAATTCAGGATCGATTAGCAGTTCTAATACTAACAATTAATTTTCCTTTATTTAAAAGGAGCCAGGATATGTCATCTCAAGGCTCTTTAAAAGACAAATCAGTCTGATTTATACTTATATTACAGGTTAATCAAATCGACCGATTGAAATATAAGTGCATATATATCCCAGATACTTTATTGCATTAAGCTAATGACTTCAGGGCAATCTCTCCCTAGAGAGGCTAATGTTAACAGTGTAAAGCAACAACTCCCTTTCAACAAGTATAGGTATTAATATCATTTGTTGCTTATTATGAATCCAATTTGGCAAGGCATGTTTAGCTTTATACGGTATGTAGAAACCATCTATATTGAGAAAGTTAGACCTGAAGGTGCATTCAGTCCAGATTTCATAATTGAACGAATAGACGATCTAAAAGACATTTAAATAAGATACATTTTTAAAAGCCCTGTAACCAATTCATTGATGTAATCGATTTTGAAAAGCAATATAGTAGTTAGGCTAGATGGCATGTATCCCATTAAAGAAATGTTCCTTTACAACATTAATCAGAGGCTTGACTAGGGTTTGGAAGCAAGCAATGGAGAATTGGTTATAATTGGAAAAAATACAAAAAAAAAATTTCTGAACTCAGCATATAGCCCAACAGTTTACACCAATTTATCTTACAGGTTGACTGAAGGTATCCCAAAGGATCTTTTTTAGATTTCCTTCTTTTGTTTTTTGGTAGAACACACAGTAACAGGGGTTAAGTCTGTAAATCTTTCAGGGTTTAAGCAATGTGGGCGCAATTAAGACCCATAAACACAATCCATTAGCATTCCAAATTAAAGAACTTTGGTTTGAACTGTGATGAAAGGGCTCTTTTTGAGTTACGGTACATCTTGATCCTTCCTGATTGATCTGAAACACTGAGTAGGAGAGGGAGCAGATGGCCTGAGCCCAGGATCTTTCTAATCCTCTATCTTCATTCAGGCAAGTCGCTCATCTCACAGTTCTGTGTCATTTTTTGTTAGGCACATTTAACTCAATCAAAGTTCTCTGAAGTTTTACTCCACTGAGACCAGGATTAAACATATGTTATTTTGAGCCCCCTGGGGAGGCATAATGTATAGCTGAGTCAGTCAGTGACTGTGGACTGTGATGTTATGGGGTCACAGATGTTTCTGGAGAAACAGCTTTGAACGCTGAAAGCCTTTTACAGGAACAATTTCTTTTTACAACACTTCTTTCTTTTCCTTTCTGTGTAGTCCAGCTAATAATAATATGTAGTTTTAAAAGACAGTGGCATTGTATGTTTAATTAATCACTGATACTGATATTGTTGTAAAATCCATATATATGAAAGATTTTTAACATCAGAGATTAAATATTCTTTAAAATACACAGCTTTCTAACCATTCACATGGAAAAACCGTCAACCTGTGCATTTGGCCTATCAATAAACCAGCGGACCATGTCTTCATCTCTTCCCACAGATCAAAAACAGCCTGCCTCAAGTCCTCTTTTAGCTTCAGTAACACTTGGCCAATGCAGCTCTTGGCCAAGCCCACCACAATGCCAAGGAAAAACACTTGACATGATTGAATAAGCAGACACCAGCCAAACATTACCGCAACTCTGACTGCCTGGATCAAGACTTGTCTGCTTTATCATCTTGTCTAGAGGGATGTCCCTTTTTAAAAGGGGTTGATTATATCAGTTAAGTGGCATATACGATCATTTGAGCTTCCTGCAAGGGACTGAGGGGGGAAAAAAGGACATCTAGAACAGAGTAAGACCTCTGGACAGCTCTTGAGCAGGATGATTAGTTGGACTCTCTTACGTTTCAATCTGTCTCTTGCTTTAACCTTTTACTCATAAGTCTCAGAAGATCCCAGAGGGAAGAGACAGGGAGCATGGAAGTCATGACCCAAGAGAGGACACAGCTTGATTAACGAGCATAGAAGGTCAGACCTCTGATTGGTATTCAGCCTCCTCCATCTGAGAGTGCTAGACCAAAACACCCATGTCTGCCCCTAGAGTGCAAATTACAATGCTGACTTTGATAGATACTCAGTGTTGGTGGATTCTGAATTTTCCCTGAGAGGATATTACGAGAGTGTATTCTAAAACGTATGAAGGGACACCCCAGGTAATCTGTCACCAACTGTTTCCTTGACAGAGCTGTGTAGACGATGCTGATGGATGAATGGCCACTGGGTGTTTTAATAGAATGAATGCTGAGGTGTGAAGAAACTTCATAATGGTGTACACATTTACAGACTATTTCATCATTTGTTCTTCCTCTTTAACACCAGAAGCTTACAGTGGGGTATTAGCTCTCATCAACACTAAAGAGGAGGGTATCTGACCTATAAAGGGTGGCTTAAGATGCTGTCCAGAAAACTACCTGTGTTTAAAGAGCAGAAGAGCGAGGGCATAATTTTCAAACCCAATGTATCTAAATTAAAGACATTATCTTTAACATACCTTGGGTATTATCAGTTTCGCAATATTTTCCTAAAGAAAAATAGTGAGAAGCTCATACAGAAGAGAATTCTAACTTTTGAAGTTGGTAAATAACTACCTGCCAACATGTTATTTTAAAGGAAATAAGTACAATAATGATGGCTTTCCAAATACATACAGTAGAGGGGAGACATAACCCTGATAATTTGCAAAACACTGTTTTTCATTAGTTATAACCTTAATTGCATAAACATCCTGACACCATATAATTTGTGTTATTTAATTGATCTTTTGCACTCTAAAAAGAAACTGATGCTCCAACCCATATTAATTCAGTTCATTAAGTTTGCCCAACTTAATTCATTTAAATTGTCAACTTATAAACTTAATAAATTAAGCTGAAATCTACTTGATTAAATTACTTCTTATCAGTTGAAGCAATTCATTTCATGTAGCATGTTTAGAAGAAGTGAATCTCAAGAGCCTAAACTTGTTGATTCCTCATCACCAGTGCAGAACCCACTTATACCTTTTGATCTCTGCTACAAAGAATTTTTTTGCAAGGTAAAATTCTTTTTTAATATTATTTCAAACATATTGTGCAATCTTATTATTAAGAATTTACCTTGATTAGGGAAGGCATTATGATCAGGAATGACTGGTATTTCACTACCGAGCCCAGTACATATGATCCAGAGTTGCATTACACTACATGAGCGTACCCTCCTCCCAGAACAAAAATATACATCTTGGGTGGCCAGGATGTGATTGCCAGTTACTTTTTTGACTAACTTTTGTTAGATACTGAAAACTATTTACTGCAAACACTGCATACAAGCAGCTTGCCTGCATTTAACATGTAAAATTATAAGGTGAAAGTTTTTTTTTTTTTTCATAATATATTCCACCAACTAAAATGTCAGCTCATCTTTCAGTGGTGGTTTGAAAAAGGCAACATCAAAGTGTAAATAGAAAAACTATAAAAATTAATCACCCTTATAATGTACTTATAATGGCCCTGATAGCACATTTTAAAGCAGTAAACTGAACTTAGATGTTAGCAGACGTGTTTAATGTCAAAATACCTGGGCTACCAAAATATGCTATACCTAAAAGAAAAAAATACCTTCCTTAATTAGGGTCTTAAATTAGAAATAGAAGACCTTGTCAAGTCAGCACTTTTTTTTTATCATAGTTTGCCCTCTTCAGAAAAAAGAAAGAAAGAAAGAAACGTGGACACCTTTGTTGGAGCTGTGTGCACAATTACCTCTGATTTAAATGAGCTTTATTCCCCAGAGTGTGGGGCATTGTCAGAGCAGGCGCGTTTGCGCTGCTTCAACACAAAGAGCGCCTCTGCAGCCTGTGCTGTAGATCTCAACGTGTTGAACTTTATACTGCAGAAATGTTGATGATTGATGATTAAAATGTAAAAGAAAAAAAAAACATAATTTAGAACTCATTTTTTTCAGTTAATAACTATAGATAGTTTAAAAAAAAAGCAATACTGGGTTATTATCTCTATTATAAAACAAATATATTCCGATTAGTGTTTTTTTCTGTTTTAGTAACCCAGGGAACTAAAATTAAGCAATGATTTATTAATGTCTATAAAGACCTGTATGAACAAAAGTGAGGACAAACGATCCTTCACCTTGTTTTAGGTTACCATAACAGCGCGCGCGGTGATGCGGCTGCGCTCCGTGGGCGAACCCTACCTGTCATCGTAGCAGAAATCTGCGTCCAGCGTGTTCAGATAGAGACCCACAGCCACGGCGGTGCACACTAGCTCCGTGATCATCTCTCAAAGCCAAACCAGAATAGAAATAGTCAGAAATAGAATCAGTTCCCTTCCTCTATCCTTCTCTCTCACTTGTCTGTTATTGTGCTCTGAGCTGAGCCACTTGGCAGCGCGGATCTCTGGGCATGGTTCCCCTGCGGCAGGCAAAGTGTTTCAAAGTTTGCCATCTCCTCTCTAACCCATCGCGGTGAGAGAGCGGTCAGGGCGAACTATCCCCGGACCGGGAGCGCGTTTCTTTGATGCCGAGCCGTCAATGAGCGCATCTCTCTCTGCTCTGCTGCTGGAGAGGCTGGAGAAGGAAGACTCATGTGGTTCAGCTAGACTGAGCATGCGCACTAGCGTTTTTCTCCTAAAATACACTACACAAAAGGAGGGGGAATGATCTGGATCAAAGATTAAAATGACATTTATGGATTACTGTTTGAAAAGCAAAGACAAAGACTATGAGTTTTTGATATCTTTATACAGCTGGGATCAAATTATGTCAAATTATAAAAGCAGAAGACAACTGAGCCTCTACAGTAGTAGCCATTCAAAATTTCCCCACTTTCCTTTGTGGGCCCTTGGCTCATCCTTGGCTGGTCCCCTACAATTCCTTTTTTAACCATTTATAGGGCTCTAAGTGAAATACTTTGAAAATCTAAATTTCGGGCCAATGGTGTTATTGGAATCCAAGACGAGACCTTATTACCATGGGCGGTTCTAGACAGGGGCCACATGGGGCCAGTGCCCCTGTAGATCACGTCCTGGCCCCCGTATCAAAGAGATAATACTCAAAGAAATTCTAATGATGATACACACCGAAACAGATGTAGTTACTGATAGGTCCTTTGGATCCATTTTAATTTTTTTTCTTTACAAATTATGTTTTACTAATTATTTAAAAACAATAAGGTGATAGCGTCAGTGGGATGGAGACAGGATCCCAGTTTTTCATCTGCTAAATGTTTTTAAAAACAAATTTTGAAAAATTTACAGCTGAATTTATCTGTTTTTCTTGAGTTCTAATTCAGATTTGATAAAAAACTGTCATTTTAATATAAATTAAGTCATAAATATGTAAACATTTCTAAATTCTGAATGTATATTGACCTAATAAGACAGAATTTTAATTAAACGTGATTTAATAGAAATTTGACTTCATGCAGCTATTTTAATATATTTGACCCCCTTGCCCTATAAAAGGTTAAACATCAATCTTTGTACTAAAATATTATTTCTGTCATGATTTTGGGATATTAAGATCTCAAGAGAAGCATCATCTCCTGGTCAGACCATTTAATTTAGAAAAAGACTGGAGTCAGAGTAAAAATATGTGCACGCGTGTGGGGACTATATACTGTAGTGCTGCGATGGACTGGTGACCTGTCCAGGGTGTACCCCGCCTCTCGCCCATTGACAGCTGGAGATGAGCACCAGCACCCCTCGTGACCCCACTAGGGATTAAGCTTATTAGAACATGGATGGATGGATGGACTATATAGTGGACTTTATAGCAAAGTCAGTTAACTGACCGATCAGACAGATGATTACTGCTTTTTGCGCGCCATTGGTCACCTAACTCCTCCTTGACTGGGTGGTGCCTTTGCCATCTTTGTTATTAGTCACCACTGTCAGGTAACACTTCGTAGACACTTTTTCTCTTACCACCCTCAGCCATTTTCAAAGATATGCGGTGAGAAAGGTGAGCTTCAGTGACTGTCTGAAACCATAGCTCACAACAGATATACGCCTGAAAGTGCAAATGCGTAGCAAATGACAGCTAACGGAACGAGTATGTAGGACAGCTTGACGTAAACATATTACCAGAATGATTGCTGGTTAGGAGGACCACTTATTTAGATGATCCACCCAGAAATTAAAGATAATCTTCTATACCTTTAAGGCATGTTCATTTGATTTAATTAAGCAATTAATTCATATGTGTCTAGATTCCTACTTATTTTTTCCTCTGTGAAGTTAGTTTTCCTTTTTGTCCTAGGTTGGTGTTTGGCTTTTTGCCTTTTTACTTGTACTGCAGATCATTTTAAGTTTTATTTTAGATTCCTCTCTGTTTAGTAATATTCTTACATTAGTTTCCCTGCCCAGCACTCTCCATTAGCCAGTCCACATTCCCCCAATAGATCACCTGGTTTCCATGTCACTGGTCAAATATATATTTTTTCTGTATTAAATCTCGATGGTTGTTATTGTTCTCCATTGGTACCCTTCATGTTTCGGTTTGTTTCATGCCTTAAATAAATGTGTGTCTGATGCTGCTACTGCACATTTCTGTTTGTACTTTTGTTTTGCTGAAGCCTTTCTAGTTCTGGTATTTGGGGCATTTAGACAAAATGAATTTAACTAAAACAAACTACGTAACAGAATTATTCCCTCTGAGGTAAAGACAGACTTTCACAAATCTGTTTACTTTCTATTGACTGACAGCAGCTGTTGGCACATTTCGCCCCATAACCAATTTAAAATAAATGGTGAGAAGAAAAGAGATCATATCTTATTGCATTCTTATAACAAATTAGAAATATTGAATATTTTTTTCCCTTTCGTAATGCACTCTGTTTTTGTAAGAGCCTCAATAGAGAGAGTCAGGAGTATGATGGATGAACCCCTCCGACTCAGCCTATGGCTTGTATGTATATGGGTATTGGTTTGGAAATGTGCAGCTTGGTCCCACTGAGTACCAGCCGGACCAAAACCTGTCCCACAGTTAGGGGGCCAGCAGGGTAAATGCACCAAAGACCATTGGAAGAACAAAAAACAGATGGTTGGAGTAGAATGTGCTGAGCATATCGGTGTGGCATATAGCTGCAGATAGGGAGAGACAAAGCATTGCAAGCTTAGAGCCATTTGTTAGTGAACTGGATCAGAATACAGCTTGGCCTTAATGTCAAAGAACCTGCTGGATTATTCAGGATTATTATTATTTGTGAATGCACTTGATTTGGTGGGATTGTATGATGAATATTTTGATGTCCTGAAGTACAATAATAGACTGCAATTAACATCTAAAATTGAATAAATTATTTGAAATAAGTTTACTTAACCATAAGTTGAGAAGGTAGATACGATGATCTGTCAATAAGATGAGGATGTTTACCGTTAAACTAAAATAAATAGATATTAATCAATTGAAATATGAGACTAGAGCCGGAGGGGGGGTGTTCTTATTCTAAATGTAAATTATTCTACACCATTGGAAAAATGTCTAACCTACCTGCTCAGTTCAAGAAAAAAAAGCACATATTTTTATGAAAAATTGCTTTTCTGATATTTACATTTGTTGCAGTTTTAAGTCATTTTAACTCCATTTGCAGTCAAATAAGCTCATATCTTATGTTTATTGCTGGATTTAAGCAGGAATCAGATGGATCAAGATGAGCAAACATTTTTACACTCAGTCATTTAGTCTGCCATATAGTATCAGTCGGCATTAGGTGCATAAAATAATAATGAAGAAGTTAAGAAATTCCTGCATGAACAGAAAAGCTTTTTCTCTTAACCCCTTTGCTCCGAACCATTCAGGTTTGGATGTTACATTTGATCAATTAATTGTATTTTCTGTTTTATTTTTGGTTTTATTTTTTTAAGGATGTGTCCATTGTTTTAATAGTAAAAAAAAAAACCTTAATATGAACCTTATATTGTTTTTTCTTCTGAAGAAACCTTGTTACGTATTTGATTTGAGTCCAAAGGATTGTTCTCTGTTTCCGTGTGACATCCTCAGCATGAATGTGCATGCCTTACCTATTAACAGCTGTTCTGTTAAGTTTTAAACTTGAAATGATGTCAAATATGAGAGAGTCAATTTATCATCAATTCTCATGGCCCTGGACAGATTGCTGTGCTAGCCAGTCAGGCAAATCCGTAGCAGCAGCGAGACTACAGAGGCCTCGAAACAATCAAAATAAGATTTAAACCAGAGACAGGCCATTTCCTTTCATCTCAGACTCATGTTGTTGCTTAAAGGCAAACTTGATTTAAAGTTCTCAAAACTTAAAAACACATAAATACAGATCTTATGTCCAATAAGCAACCTGTTCAAATGCAACTACAAAAAAAACCAATAGGATTCATTTGAACTGTTAATAAATTATATTATTTAAAGTGCTGCTAAAAATGTCACATGCATTTCTGTCAAACAATGACAATTTTACCATGCTGAAAGATAAAGGAAAGGCTTTTAAATCGGTCTTAATGAATAATACTTTTAAAAAAAGCTATAAAAAAAAAAAAACTTTCTTGAGAGCTGATCCACTACTGACTCCAAAAACAAAAGGTCTTAATTTTTAGGAATGGTCCAACCAAATATTTAATATAGTTTGTTACTCATAACATAAAATACACATTTAACTTTAGTTTTTTTTTTGTTTTGCAATAAAAACATTTGTTTTTTTTCAGGGGTTGTATGTGATAGTCCACAGAAACAACAGCAAAAAGCTCCAGGCTGCAAAGAACAAGGCAGCATGGTTACTACTGGTGTTCTGTCAGGTAAGCATACCTGGTCAGACCAGCATACCCATAGTCAATACCCTTTTATCCCTTTAGTTTATCTCTTTAGTTTATCCCATTAGTTATGTAGGAAAAATAGACTTTAAACTACCAGAACGGGCGTGTATCCCTTTAGTCATGTACAAAAAACTATTTAATTACTTAGTTTTTGGTGTTTTTTGAAGACTATGGCCATTTGAAATATTTTTTTTTTTGTATATTACTAAAGGGATACACGCCCGTCGAAGAAGTTTAAAGTCTGTTTATTGTATAAAACTAAAGGGATAAATGCTAATCTGACGTTCTGCGCATGCGTATTGACTGGTATGCTGGTCTGACGAGGTGTGCTGATCTGACAGAACACCGGGGTGCAGTTAGATCTAATATCAACCAGATGCATGCCTGCCTTTCCTGGCTTACAGTGGAGAATAAGTTTCTTTTTAATACACTTATGCTGTTTAAGTCAGTCATGAGCAGTAATGTACAAGCTTTTAAGTTTTTAGTAATTGCACATGATCGCAACACTAGAGGTTCCAGTAATGGGATGTTTTTTTTTTACCCGGTCCAAAAACCAATGCTCTAAGGAGATCTTTTATTTATAGATAATTTCGTCTTGGGAATAATCTACCTGAATACATTGGCTGCACTCATTGCAAATTATCTTTTAAAAAGATTCTGAGACTCCATTTGATGCCATGAAGTGGTTTTATTTTTTGTTTTATTGGCTGTTATATTTTAGTTGTTCTTTTTGTGCATTCTCTGATCATTTTTAAACTACTATGTGTTGAGAAATTACATTTTTGAAAATATAATATTTATGACTGTGCTTTGTAT